ATGAATGCATTTCATTAATAAAATAAAAGAAATGGAACAATCGACAAGAGGTAATCGGGAAAAACTGAAAGCCAATTCTGTCATGGCAAGTGCCCGTTTTACCAAGGAAACTGGCCTGAGTCGATTTGCTGCGAGATTTTAATTACATGGACAATAACCGACTTTTCTTCATGCAGGACACTAGTTATTATGAATGATGAACCATCATATAAATTTTGAGCCCATATGAACCCACCGGGGCAAGGTGTCTGCACTTCTGATCTCGTCAAAGCGTCCACCTGGGTTGCCTGGCGTGCGAAAATTGTTTCACCAATCACCGAAAGGCGAGGCCCGGCAAAGTTGCTTCCTGTTGCCATGGGTACTGATACTAGGCCAAAGCCTGGCTGGTATACTCGACATTCTAGAGCCGGTCGGTCTACCAAACAGGTTTCTGAGCCTGCCTGTCCATAAATAGTCCTACCGAGAGGGTGCGAAGTGAAGGCTTTGGGTCGAGATGAACGGCCTCAAAGTGAATAAATTCATGATGAGGGTAAGAGAGATAGACAGAAAAATTCATTTTAGTGCAAAAAAAAGAAGCTTCCTCTGACTTCACCCAGCTACAATTCATAAAATGGATAAATGAAGCCCATCCTTTGGCCAACTTTCTGTTGAACAATAAGAAGAATATACCTCATCTGACGTCTTCCGGCAATTTTAGCATGATAGCCTTGTGAATATGATTTTGGACTCGGTTAAAAATTGTGATAGAAAGAGAGTGAGAATAGAGGATATGGGATAAGCGAATGTACCAAAACAGAAAAAAATGAGATATCACAACCTTTCGGCAAATGTTTGTCAAGAGATAGACTTCAATTTTCTCTTTCACAAATTGTAGTTTGGTACAAATAATGGCAAGGCTCACTGACCAAGTCCCCTGTTCGACGCTGGAAAGCAATATGACTCTGGACAACATTTTTCATCAAATTAGTCCTGACAACAGGACACAGTCGCGAAAACCGGGTCAAACTGCAACCAAAATAAAGGACACGGTATCTTGGTCTTTATACTTACATGTTTCATAATTTGTT